AGGCACTCTGTCTGTTTGGTTGCATTACTGTTAATGTATTTCATAAAGATTCAAAGCATAACTTTTGGAAGATGTTCTCATAAACACGCTCCCTCCCCTAACCTAAATAAGAAATTTAAGATTTATTGCACTTTTGGAAAAACTCCAGCTCCAAAGATTTTTATTTTATGCAGATTTCTGTTCCCCCACCACGGATTAAGGACTTAGGGTATGAATAGCTGCCAAATGGTTTTATAGGTGTATATAAATGAAGAAAGTTTAATATAGTTGAAACTCTGTAGGGGTAACTGTGAAGGACATAAAAGGTAAATCTTCCTTAAGCAATTTTTTGCCATGTACACTTTCTTTTAAATTCAGATTTAAATGATTCAGAAAAGGGCTGTAAAGCTAAATTTACTTTGGTGCCATGAAGATCTGTAAGCTTGCATGAAAACTACTTCTGTTTTATTTAAAATTGGAGCTTTCAGTCAGTACTTGGAAGTCTGGCTTCTGCTCCCATTGGCTTCGCTGGGATTTGGATCTAGCCCAAAGTACTGCAGGAAGGTAAGGGAAATTATCTAGGTTTAATTGTCCATTCTGTTCAGAGTCTTGTGTTATGGGGTTAGGATAACATGGCACTGTGATGAATGTTCATCTGTCAAGAGTTCAAAATCTGCTGTCTGTGCATGGCAGTAATTAAATCACCTTAATTGTTTTTTCATGATTCTTTCTGAGAGAGGGAAAATTACTTGCCTTGGATTAGCATATTGCCAAAGACTGTTATAAATATTTATGGGGTGTACTCTTTCAATAGAAAGCCTGTACATTCTTCACAGGTCTCCATAGTTCTTTTTCCCAAACACAGAAGAGTAGTTACTTGAATGCACTAATTACCATCATCTCCCCCTCTTGCAAAGCTTCAGTAGATACTGGTTTAAAAGCAAAAAAGGTAAGTAGTTTAGAAAGAAACATCTCTTACAAAACATATTTAATTACCTCTGTAAACTGTGGAATTTTTTTCAAGGTGCGTATGTTTGTGAAACAGGTTTGAGAGTTACAAATTTTTTCCTTTTACAGTTGTAGAAAATACATGCTTTTGGAAGAATTACTGGCTTCTCTGTTTTTTTTTTTTTTTCTGCTTTCACACTAAGGCCTCATGCACTATTCTTATATTCTAAAATAGTGAAAAAAGTAGGAATGTAAACACTCAGTTAAACAGCTGCACAGCTTAGTTCTTTTTTTATAAAGGTCATCAAGCAAAATATTCCCAAGAGTATGAAATAACTATGCCTATGTTAAGAATGGCAGAATAAAGCAAACAGTATAGTCCTGACTTGAATAATGCCAGGATTTCACTGTAGATCATTATGGAAAACTCAGGAAAACAGTCAGAGCACAGCTCTTTCATGGCTCTGTTTACGCGTACATATGGTCTGTGCTGGGAATCAGGAGAGATGCATTTATGTTGTGTTACAGGAAGAAAAGTTGAGGGGCTGGTGCTTCTCCATAGTTATTCTGTCTGCTGGTTTTAGATGGTAAAAGTTTTGCTTTTAATGCCTGGAAACTTGGAGGCTTTTTTTAAAAAAGAAATATCTTTGGAGAAAAGTGAGTACTAAGTTAAAATCCTTCTTAGCTTATTTCAACGCTGTATGTAAAGCACACGCTTCTCACTTGGCTAGCTCTCCTCCTGAAAATCTGTACCTCTGATATAGCTGGGCATTTTAAATCCATGCTTCCAATTGCAGAAAAAATGATTGAGAGGTTGTAACACACAACAGAAATGCCTTTGAACAGTTACTAATACTAATCAAATTGTTCCTTTTTTCCTTTCAGAGTGCTGTTTCCAAGCTTATCCTGTAAAAGTAAGGACAGACTACAGTATAGGCACACACTCAAATTTTGGTTCATACTGCTGAGGTCAATAGTTTGCTAAAGTGTCGAGATCGGTAAAAACCCATTTTTATATAATACAAAAGCAAAACTGTTTTGCTAAGATATTGCAGTTTTAATAAAGATATTTATTGAGCTGTGTTCTAAGGAAAAATGTATACTTTTTATAACAGTGGACATTGTATGTAAGTCATGGGATCATTCCTTTGTGTTTTAACTATTCCTGTTGTTTACACTGCTTTGACAAAATCCAACAAAGCTTCTGACAGCGTGCCAAGAGAGATTTAATGAGTATTGCAACGTAAACGGAACTGGTGGAGCGCAGAAGGTGCAGCTGTAAGAGCACAGCAGCTCCGAGGCTGGAGCACAGTGCCAGCTCTCCAGCCTGCTCTCTCCATTGGCAGCGATGAGCACAGCCCCAGCCAAGAGCAAGAACAGGGCAAGGGGACACCAAACAACACTCATGTCACCCCAGCCTACAGCTGGGCTCGACTTCTTAAGCCAGGTGTGGTTAGCAGGTACTTTCTTTCCATAGCTTGTAGGATTTCAATGATAAAGCACTTGTCAAGTTATGGTTTTGTACAGAACTGGGCACATTTTGGCAAATTACCTTAAAATGGACGTCAGACAAGGGAAAATATATTTGTAAGTATTTTTCAATCATGTACAACTGATATGCACATAATTAACACTAAGTGACCATGCACTTACTTGTATGTTACAAGCAAAGGAAACATACAGGCCTGTCCAAAACAGGGAACAAGCGTCTAAAATGCTGTTGGGTCTGAGGAGTAAGTGATAATGCCTTTGTTGGCTTTGCACTCCTGCTAACAAGCTAGATAGTGTTACGCAGGCTTTTGGACTGTAGAAGCAGAGGAGTTCTTACCTTGCTTCTAATAAGTAATGTATAAATACTGTGTAAGTACAGTATCAACACTGTATGATAAGCTGATCAGTAATTTCAAATAAGAGCTGATATGTGCTTTACTGCTTTGAGGGTCAGTTGTCTTGCCCTCTGCAGTATGGACTGGGGACAGAGGGAAATTACAGAGCACCACCACTTTTCCCGCCCCTGCCTGGATGGTTCTCTCTGTAGAATGTACCTGAAGGTTACTACTGCTCCTCTGAAAGCAGAAGTAAGGGAGAGGGAATCTGAGTGGTAGCCTTGAGAAAGAAGGTTGGAGCAGATGCCATGAACTGGGACTGCAGTAATGTTTTATCTACCACAAAAACTTAACAACAGAATTTTTAGGCATTAATGGAGAAGTAATCTCCTTCATACTTTGGAAGGAATTAATAAGACATTTCACGTTCCCATGACTGCCTGCCTGTATGACAGGACATATCATCTACAGCTGTGTTCTTGTTGGAAACAATGCTGAAGAACTTCACTGGAAAGATATTTTTGAAGAACTGATTATACATTGAAAGAGTTCCCTTATTTTTTCACAAATATGGTGAAAACAGATTTAAGTATTAAAAAAATCAAAACCAGTTACTGATAGAGCTGTCCCTCTTTACAAATCAGGGCTACGCTATTTATAAATATGTTTATTTTACTTTCAAGCATACATTCTCAGATCCTGAAGTGGTATGCTTGTTTCAGTAATTAAGCTGTTTTAGACAAGGATTTTACATGTACTGTTTTAGCAACCAGGTTTCTAACAGTATAAAACTGGCAGCCCTTCCAGGCCTGTGTCATCTAAGAGCGTAAGATGCTGCATTTCTGTGAGCTCACTGGAAGCTTAAAGAGCAATCAAACCCTTCTTCCCCTGCACTTTCACCATTAACTTAAGTGCACTTAATTATCCAGTTGTTCTGGATATTTCTGTTCAAATACAAAATCTAATTTTTTATATTACCTATTAGAATAATTAAATTCCATTTTAATAAAATGTTCACTAAAAGCAATTTACATTGCAATACTTATACACCTAATAAGGGGAGAATTACTATTGTATTTGCTTTTTATCTGAAATTGAAAGGGGCTACATTGGCAGTCTCAGATACACACTATTTTATTCTGTACACTGTATTGTCCATATGAAATCCATTACTATACATCTCAATATAACTGTCCAAAATGGTAAAATACACTTTAAAGGGCAGTGAGGAATGGGAGTTTGTTCTAAATTAGACACTTCAATTAGACACTCTGCTTTAATAACGTTTTCACAGAGCATGAACAACACAGAAGAACATAAACAAAGATGAATTTTGTGAAGCAAGAAAAATAAGAGATGGATTTCAAAGGTCACAGTGCTGTGGAACTAGTTTTAAGCTTCTGTTTCTCTACTTAAAACCCCCCCAACAATTCATTGAAATAAAAGCAAACTATTTTTTTTCCTGTATTCCAGCTTTGCACTGCTTAATTTTTCTGCAAATTTCTAACTGAAAACAAATTCAAGCACAGCAATGACTTGAGCAAAACCTGATAAAATTTTTTCCTTTATTAATCTGTGGTCTTAAAAGTGTTGAGCCTTCTATGGATGTAAGAATAATCAATAAAATGCTATGCTGAGCACTTTTTCTCGGCAAAGCTTGTTGCCACTTCATGACTTACAGCACTTGAGTTACTGTTCCAGTCAGTTTCTTTTTCTTCTGCCAAAATTCACGATGTTTGTGAAAAAGGGAAATCTTTGATAAAGTTAGCTTTCTGGTAATAGCTTCACCTCAACAAATTAAAGGACTTGGTGGTGAAAAAACATTTGAAAGCTCCCAAGGCTCAGTAATTCAAGTCTTCCATTCTGCTATTCTGATCAGTTAATTGCTCAAAGTAGGACTGGTTATTAACTCTTGGAAACTAAAGAAAGAACTAGTGAATTTTTTATGTCACCTCCTGAAATGTCAAGGGATGCTCTTCAAGGAAACCACACAATGCAGCCTGTGATATCTGTAAGTATCAAAGTCCAGGAGACGAAAATTGTGATCATCTCTGGTTTTAGTACTTTAAATAAAATATGTACTTACTAATTTAGTTCAGATGCTGGATATTTTGAAGTGCAACAGGATTAATACAAACTCAGTAACTGGGTGAAGGATTTTAAATCTTTAGGGGTTTTAAACCAACATGTTTTTCATGGTCAGTGAGAGACAATGTCAGCAGCAGAATAATGTAGCTGGTTGCAGGCAGTTTAATGAAGTTTTATTGTTGAAATAGAGCAGGAACTATTCCATCACATAGGACACACAAGCAAACAGATTCCAAGACTACTTTATATGCTATTATAAATCACAGCTATTTATCTTAGAACATGTGACCCTTTAGAAAATAGAACTGTGGTTGCCAAAACCAGTCTCTCAGGCATTTCTTATGGTGAACAGACAAGCTCAGACGTGGGCATGTGCAGTTTCTGTACGTGGTGCAGTTTCTGTACGTGGTGGCACTGTAGGATGCTGAAGATGGGCCAGTGTTGCTTCAGGATCAGAGGCTTTTCTTGGCTGTATGTCTTCTGGATACTCAACGACCAGTTTTTCTGTGGCATACATCTGGCCAATGGTAACCTGAAATCAAACCAAAACATCAATAAACAGGTTATAATTTAGGCTGCACAAAAACCCCCAAGAATTGAATAGCCCAGATATTCAGCTTTTTCATAATTACATTTTTCTTTCTCTAAACATTTCTTTTTGTAAATAGTACACTTGTCTACACCTTAAGAAAAATAACCAATACATAAAATACCTGCACATATAAAATCTTGAAATAGTGACATTGAGGAATACCATTTAAAGTCTCAAAAAATAACATTAGAAGTTACAACAGAGAAAAAGCAAGCAGGTTCTATGTTGAGAAAAATGAAAAGACAAATATAATGAAAAACAAAAATATGGATATAATCAGCAGGTATTTCTTATTCTTTTTAGGTGGAGAGCCTAGATATAAATTGCATGGCACAGTACTATTTACCAGTTCCTTTGGAATCCTAATGTAATTTCCCTTATTAATGGGGAAAACAGTTCAACAGTTGTTAGTTCAGCAGCAGCATTTTACATTTATTGGAGCTACCTCTTGTTCACAAGATGGTATTCAGACCTCCTATATTTGTGCTTTCTAGGAAAGCAAAATGAGGAAATGAAATATGACAAAAATGCAACATTGATGCTTTGACTCCTCTTGTTCTTTAGCACTTTCTAGTCTGCCCCATAACATTGGTAAATTGTGGTTGGATGAGTGTGGGATCTCAGCACCTCAGGACTGAGGTGCAGAGTGACCGAGACCATCCTTGGGGGGCTCGGGAGTCCTGGAATGTTGCCAGAAGTGTCTGGTGGCTGGACTTTGATCCTACACAGGAGACGACACCTGTATGAGGATGGGAGGATTTCACTGGGGTGAATGGTGAAGGGATAAGTTAGTTAGAGTGAAACACAGGGTTTAAGATTTCTGTACAGGGGGCTCTAAAGAAGTAAGATGGAGGAATTGGGGCGTGTCCTGTTCTTCTTCTTCTTCTTCTTCTTGGCCTCCATCTTCTGTGGTGATGTTGGCACTTTGGGATTGGTTATTACTAAAAGTGCACTGGTTAATAAGGGTAGAAGGTATTGGGGAAAAATGATAAATATTGTATACGTAACTTCGAGTATAAAGATAGGTGGCCGCCCCAGGGGCTCTCAGTGTGCTCATGGCTGACTGCTGAGCAGACCTCTGTCGGGCCAAGAGAAAATCTTTTAGATAAACAATTAATAAACACCGAGACCGAGAAAAGATCTGAAGTCCCTTCTCGTCCTTTGAAGCGTGGGCTGTCCAAGGCCACCCCGGGCCTTTCCAGGCCATCTAAACAGCCGTGAATCCGACAGATGAGCAGCTGGCAGTTGTCACACAGCTCTTGGCTTAGCAGCTGAGATGGGGAAGGAAGAAGTTTCATGCAAGTACGGTAGTGAAAGCAGAAGACAATGTTTATTTTTAAAAGTATGGATTTTGGAGTCTACTTTTTAGTATCTGTTGTGCCCTTTCTTGCCCGTACTTTCTCCTTCAGGCCTGGGTACACAGCAGCTCTGTGTCCTTTTCACAAAATAAAAGGTTCATGCATTTAAGTGTTGAATTAGGACAAAAAAGACTAGATGCTGAATTACACTAAACATGGTATATTTAGTAGAATTCAATACTGTGCAAATTAAGCCTAACAGCAAGTCAGGCTCTCAAAGTAGTAAAAAATCAGGGAAATAATGTTTTTAGCATTTTCCATTTAACATCTTTTGTGGGAAAAAAATCCTGGCCTCTCTTGAATAAAAATTTCTCATCTGTGCTCACACTCACATAAAATGTGAATAATATTGCCTTTTAGGAAATGAACTATTTAATCTTGATAAACAGCCTTGTCTGAAACTTGTAACACATTGATTTTAATCTTGAAATATTTATTACAAGGGAGCATTTATGAAGCTGTTCGTAAAGGAACAGAAGTTTTCCTTGCCAACAAATATTTCCTTCTTTTGGCACTCTGAGCTAAGTTAGTAACAGCATATGAACAACTCTGATTATTTTTGAAGTTTCTTATGAAATATGTTGCATACAGAATATTTAATACAAAGGCCATACACAACTGTGACATGTGTTACCCACAGAAATTTTAAGCTGTCAACAAGTGTTACTTGTCAAAGAGAACTCGCTGTTCTGGGTTATGTGGCAGGCTATACACTTTAGTTGCTGCCTTACCACAAACCATGCTGAAGTACTTAATTTTTGTATACTGTGTTTTGGAGCCCAAAGAATCTTTAATCCTTTCCCACACAGTAGAGCAAATTTAATGGGAGGCTCAGAGGGATTACAAAAATGCTGAAACCTGAATTGCATTTTTTTTTCTCCCCCAGCTGGGGGAGATACATGAGACTGAGTACGTGACTTCTCAGTCAATCATATTCAGCTGGGGCAGATGGATTTGTAGGAGAAAGGTACAAGCTGCTGTTTGCTGTCCCTGCGCCAACAGGTGATGTTATCTACTGCTGCACCTCTTGACTTGAATGCAATAAAAGCACAGATTTATGTGTGAGCTGCTTCCTTAGCAAACCACAGGCGTGCAGGCATTTCAGCAAGTGCAGAGCCACTGTTGCTGTGCTGTCAGCCTTTGCTGGGCTGCTGCAGCTTGCCTGCTCTGCTGCCTGCCTTCCAGAACCTCTCCCATGTCACTGTAAGCTGAACTTTGAAACCTAAGGATTTTTGGTTTTTAAGCCATTAGCATTGAATTTTTAAAGTTATGATCAAGCCTTTCCCATGTGCCTTAGACAAAACAAACAAACCTTCCATTTATAGCTGCTGAAAAATTCCCATCCATAAACATCCCCTGCCTCAGCAAGGATTGCACCAGTATTTACACACTGACACTCATTAACCCTACGAACCACAACAGCCTTCTTGCAGTGTCCTCACCACCCTGGGCCTAAAGAAAGCACTTCAGCAGCAGGCACTCACTGTGGAGCATTCTCCCAAATTAGAGACTTAAGTGGCCACCTATTGTGCTCTTTTTCCATCGTGCATGTTTGTAGCTTGTATACCACACTTACTTTTCTGGTAGGTGGCTGGAAGCCAGTGCATAGGTCAGTGCCAGGGGGGTTCTACTGACCACAGGAAATGTGAAAAACGCCAATCATTTGTTCTTAAAATTTTAAAAGTTTAATAGTAATAAAATGGTTATAAAAATAGTAATACAATTAGAGTAATAGTAATTTGTATAAATTGAATTAGGACAATATGAGGCAATAGAACTAAAGAGTTACAGACATCTGGGTACCTTTTTCTGGGCAGCACGAGCCCGAAAAAGGATCCCCGTTAACAAAGGATTAACCTTTAAAAACCATAGCCTGTTGCATATTCATACACTTCATACATGATGCAATAATTCCATTCAAATACAGGATTCTGTCTGGTCATCTCAACTTCTTCCTCTGAATCCTAACAGTGCCTTCAAGGTGGGAAGAAGTTTGTTTCTTCTGATACGAGGGCAATAAATTCTCTTTCTCTGAAAGATTTAGTTGCTGCAAGTCCTTTCTTTAAAAAAAGTATCCTACATAGCATAGTTTCTATTTTAACATTTTTTATAACCTAAAACTATATTTAATTGCTTAAGAGAATTAATATAGCATAACTTTCTAACACAACACATATAATATTCATTTTAATATTTGCAAAAAGCCAATCATAAAATATACATTTTTCACAGGAAACTTTTGGGGAGAAAGGCTCCATCATTTGCTCACCAACTTGTGTTTTGTGTGTTACCCAAAAGTTTATTTACCTCTCTAGGTAACACATTGCAATTAAATTCCCCAGAATTACCCAAAAGTAAATAAACTTACCTCTCTAGGTAACACATTGCAATTAAACTCCCCAGAAAAGAATGTGCAATAAAGAACCACACTGTCATCAGGAGAGGACAATAAATAGAAATACAGAGATGCTTCTCACCTTATTTTGAATTATTTGATGTTTAAATTCTGCCTGAAAAATGATGTACTTTGACAGGTCCAGCCCTCAAAACCTGGTAATTTGTCTTTGTTCAAAGATTTAGTACAAGCCTATATGGTCAGCTGTTTTTTGTGAACAAGAAGACTTGTTCTTGAAAACCTTACTATTGCTTTATGTCTGGATACAGGAGAAGGCTTAGGGCTCCAGAATGGGATTTATCAGCAGATGTGAGACAACAAATGGGGAAAAAGAAATCACTGAAGAGTAAGCATTAGTCCATCTTTTAACCCAACCCTTCTCTGGTTATTAGGTCTTTGTGTGTTCATATGGAAACAAGTACTAGTCCTTTGTCATGGCTGGCAGGAAGCGAACACAGGAATTAGCCACTTCATGGAATCTTTCATTGCTATTGGGGGAAAAAAAGCACGTAGGAAAGGTTTTCCCTATATAACAGAGCATCAAAGGTATGTATGGGGAGGTGCAATAAGAATTAAATTGTAGAATTAAGAATTATTTGTTGAATTAAAAATTCAAGAAATCCAGCCAAATTGACTGAACTCTGAACTCTGTCCTCTCTAAAGGAGTCTGGCTGGGTGTGTGCGACTCTCAGGGACACCTGTGGCTGGTGAGCAGGTTATGTGTGGCTTCCATGCCAAGCCATGTGACAGATGCAATTGCAGAGGGACAGTGCTGTCCTGGGAGGCAGCCTGAATCCTAGGGGCTAACCTGAATTCTACAGGCTAAACTGAAACCTTGGGGCTGCCTTCCCATCTTGACACAGCTGGTGGAGTAGATCCTGCAGTCCTGCTGCTACTACTTGCAAAATACTACTAGATTATATTCAGTTTCTGAAGGTGTGTGGCATGTCTTGTGTATTTCATCCACACAAAGATTTTACTTTGCAGCTCAGAGTTGAGGTAGAAGTGACTGCTCATATTTCTGCAGGGCTGAAGATAAGGTGACTGGGTTTTACATTTTTTTTCGAATTTGCCTCATTCAGAGTGCATAGTTCTGCTCTGAAAAGTACGATGGCATCTTTCCTTGACAGCTCTGTATAAATGTCTGTCTACTTAATTAATCACCACATTTTTCCTTCCTTAGGCTC